TATATATATATATATATATATATATATATATATTTTTTTTTTTTTATTTAATTTATTTATTTTTTCATATTAGCCCTGTTTAAAATATTTTTAGTTCAGTCCTGGATCCGCCCTTTCAAATTTATGCTAGAATAAAAAAGAACAAGGGCATATTATTAGAATGCATCACTAAAAAGCTAACAAACACGATTATTTATTTTCATTAAAAACTAAGCGTAATTATATTCAATATATTTGTTAAATAAACGTAATTATTTATTTAGTAATTTATGTAGTGATAAAATTAATGATTAAATAATTTTTAAAATAAACAAATGTTAAGAACTAACAAAATATAGAAAATGATCAACACCGTTCATTTGATACAACTTCTAATATTTGGATTGTAATTGATTTTCAATTTGGTGCAAGATTTGCACAAAAATAATATAAAATTGATCCCAAATTTTGGTGCAATTATTGCATATGGCCTATGACCCCATAAAAGAAAAGAAAATAATTGCAATATATTTTCTTAAATAAGATAATAAAGCGAAAAATATTTTCTTAAATAAGATAAAGTCAGAAAACATGTGCAATAATGCATACCGAATAAACCTTGTAAAGAAGATTACGCGTAACGAATTTGATTCTGTACTTTATATATTATATATTGTGAATGCAAAGGCAAAACAAGCATTTGGGATCTCTTCCTTTTGGATTTTTCCCATATTCTGCCTTCTAAGCAGTGTCGCCGCCGCCCTCGCCGTCCTTGCGTAATTCATTCAACCATTTCCACCGGCTTCATCCTATTCCTATATATAGTAACTGACTTCATCCAGAATTTATCGAAATCTCTATCTGTGAGCTTTTCTTTGTGAGAAATATGAGTAACTATAATCAGAATCAGCCCCAAGGTATGTAAATTTATTAATTTTTGTTAATGGGTTTATGGATTTTCATTGTTTGAATTTGAATTGTGTTGTTTATGGGTTTTTACAGTAGTATATCCTCCACCAGGCACGGCAGAGCCACAGGGTGTTCCATACATGGCTCCACCACCGCCCGCCGGTTATCCCGTGAAAGATGGTCATGGACAACCACCAATTAATCCGGCTCCGGTGGAAACTCAGTCGAGGGGCGATGGCTTCTGGAAGGGATGGTGAGTTATCCTTCTCTTCTCTCTTCCGATTGTAGATGTTTATAGTCTAGGCTGCACTGAGACAAGAAGGAGAAACAAAACATATAATTATTTAATTTTATAAATTAATTTACCCTCAAATTACTGCATAACTAATAAAAAATTTCTCTTTAGAGGGATATAAGATGTGTGTATATTTAGATGTGACAATTTGCAAAATTCGTGTATGAAAAAATAAATAGGTGGGTAGCTGATAATCCATATGTTTGAAATTAAATAAAAAAAATATCAAGAACCAATGAGATAATAATAGGTTAAAATTCCATAGAATAATTAGCTCCTATTTGGTACAACTAAAAATAAGTTAAAGTTAATAATTAATTTTAACCACAGATATCATGAAACCCACAAATTTTATCTATTTTTATCAAAATTTATTAGAAGTTTGTTTTTTCATCTAAACTAGAGAATTAATTCAATATGGATGGGTTTTCGAATTTTACTTTTTACCTATCTTGGAATCAATTTAAAGAATATGAGGCTAGGTTTGAGATAGAAATAATGAATGTCATTTTTTCATTACACTATAAGATAGGGATTATTGTTAAACAATTGTGTTTAAAATATTGGCAAAAGATAAAATATTTTTGAGCTGCCTTGTAATTGATGAAATTTCCTGTTTGCAGTTGTGCTGCCCTGTGTTGCTGCTGTGTGTTGGACGCCTGTTTCTGAGAATTCTATGAACAAATTGTTTCCGAAATTATTTTATGTTTATTACGTATCTCTCGGATTTTCCATATTAGTATTTTGTTTCCTGGAATAAATAGTTTCATTTTTTTGTTTGTCTTTATGTTCATGTTACGTATTACCTCCATCCCATAAAAAAATAAATAAATAATAAAAAAAATTGTGTCATTATTTAAATAATTATTTAATATAAAGATATATAGAAAAATGTAAGAAAAATTTATATTTTCAACTATATTAATTACATTTTCTTAATCTGTGTTAAATTAAAACAAGCGTATATTTATGGGACAAAGGGACTAATATTCTACTTTGTTCAGTTATGTAAATTTATGTTACATTATCTGTTTTTAATTTTCTTTCAATTATACCACATTTTATTGTTACTCCATTCATCTCATAAAGTTAGTCTTTCTTCGATTTTCATATAATTTGAACAATCAATTTTACTTAATAACGATAGAACAAAAAGAGAAGAAAATATGAGAGTCAAAATTCAAATGTGTATATTATTGGAATCAATACCCCATATTTATATGGTTCGAGATGAAAGTTACAATCAGAGGACAATAGACTCTTTTAGAATAGCTGAATAGATATGACTTATCTACTTATTATGATAAGACTAAAGAATCATCAACAATTATAATACAATTTTACAACATTCTCATTTGATGATTATCTGCACATTAAACATTTTCTTAAAAATATTATTTGATAAAATTCTAGTGAGAAAAATCAAACAAAGGGAAAAATAGACAATTAATTATTAAAAATTTTGAGTATAAAGAAAATAGTCTTACTAAAACCTTAAAAGAAAATTTTAATAAGACAACCTAAACTAAGAGAAAAAGTAGAGCTACTCCCCAATGTTAACCACTAAAGATCTTTGAGTCGACACATTTCAATCTCGTATATCAATTTCTTGAATGTAAACATCAACATTCATTTGTAAATAAATCATATTTTCACTTGACAGAATTTGTTGAATATTGAAGTTGCATTCTTCTAACACTCGTGTGTATAAAAATTTTTTATAGAAATATATTTCATCTTGTCCTATTTGATTTAATCTCCTTTGAATTGTGCAATACAAGTTGCATTTTCTTAATATAAAATTTTTGGAATATCTTTTTTGACGTTAATCGGCATGATAATAGGATATGATGGGTTATATTCTTCAACCATACATATTCTTGAATTGTTTCATGAATTACAATAATTTATATGTCCAAACACTTTTAAATGTCCAAACACCATATTTAAATCCATTTGTAAAAATTACATTTTTAGGAGTTCGAACTAAATGTCCAAACACTTTTATTTTCTCTAATGTTCATTTGAATTCTTATTTTGTATCATTATTGAGTGATGATCTAGCTAGATATGCCAAACAATAAAATATTTAAGTTATTAAACTTTTGGTTCAATACAATGTTTATTTAAAATGTACTAATATTAGTATAGTGTATCAATTAATAAATACAATTAGAAACTTTGTAGGCTTCTCTTTTATTTAGCGAAGAACAAATTACTAGCACTAGTAAGTTTGTCCTTCCATATCATGCCATATTAACTCTTATTAAAATTTCATAAAATATCAAATCAAATCTACGTTAGATATTTCTCAAGAATGATCATAATTAATTTATGTTATATTGTGTTCTTCAAAAATATTAAAACAGTATTCTTTCGCGAAATTGTAATATATGAATTTGTGTTTCATCAGAGCAACTGAAAAAAATTTCGTAATTAATGATAATTAATAATAACCAAATATTCTTCTATAATATCTATATTTATAAATTTTTACTTTTCCTGCAATAACTATATAATATTCTGCCAAAATATTGATATAACTTTAATTTATGCTTCTTCAATAGTATACAAATCATTGAATATTTATATTTTCAAGAATATTAATTTAATATGAAAGTATCATTTTTATGTAACAACAGGTCAATATTCTTCTAAAATATTCGAATCGTAATGCAATATTCTTCATGATCATATATTCATCCATAATAGTATAACATTGTGCATTTTCGGGAGCAATATCAAAGTAAAAATATCAATTAAATACGAACAAATAACATATTTCCATTGTGGTCAATTATAACATATAAATCAGATATAGAAATGGAATATGCACGATGAAATGGTTATAATCTATAGACATAACAATCAATTAAAGAAAACATGGCAAATTATCAATTGGAATTGACAAGCGGATGTGTTCACTAAAATAATTATTTAATATAATCATGCAATTTGTGTAATTGAGACAACACATAATTCTCAAATCAAATAACCATTTTAAAAGAATATATAAAGTTGTAGATAGAAATTGATGGGTTCTGTACGTGGCGTTCCAAAATATATATATTTTGACATTAGGACCACCAATTAATGAATTTTTTTGGGCAAGAATTTGGCTACTGTTTCTCACGAACGAACCATTAGATTTTAATCGTTATTGTTAAATTTGAAGAACAACGAATTATGAACTTGCTGTCCAAATTTTATAGTGATTGGACCATGGAGTGCAAGGTATCAATATTTTGATCACAGCTGTACATGTCTAAATTTAGTGAATTTTCTGCACTCTTGATCTCGAATTTTCTATCCATTTTGGTGAGATGTATCGTGTTGATAAAGTATTATAAAACTAAAGGAATGAGAAAGAAACATAAGAGAAGAAATAGAGAGAGCCAAAACTCCAGCGTGTATTTTATTATAATCAAAGTCCCATATTTATTGGGTTCAAAATGGAAGTTATAATTAAAGTGGAATAGATCCTTCTAAGGTAGATAAGACTTATCTAAGAATCTGATAAGACCAAATAGACATTAATAATTATCCCATAATTTTACAACAGCTCGAATATTTTTTTTTTTTTTAATTTTAAACTAGAGATAGGAGCAATATTTGAAAAAGCCCATCTAGCCACGAAAATGTGGTTAACTCTTAAACATTTATTGCCCCTGGGCTCGAGTCTTGATCTAAATGCTTTATACCTTATAGAACCTTGATTTGGAGAGTCAATTTCGCTCTATATTTGTATCAAAATATAAAGCTGTATGTTTCGGTGATTCACTACTTAAATTATTCATAGTATATTGAATAATTAAACAATTGGCATCTAAAACTATATAATATATTAATTGAAAAATGAGTTAAAAACAATAAATGATTGTTGAAAAAGTTAAAGTGAAAAAATGTAAATTTTTTTTTTACTTTGAGTGTATAATTATTTATTTATTTATTTATTTATTTTCAAGTTTAAAGACATTCTCTCAAGAATTTAAAATAATATGGTCAAAATACTTTTACAAATAATGAGTCTCTTTGAAATGCTACAATTGTTAATAACCACCATTCCATCAAATATATTTCCTTCAACAATACATGTTCTAGTATTCACATTTCTCATCAATAGACATCTTAACATTTTTTTACGAGGCCTACCAAAACATAACTTGTGAATGTATGTATGGTATGAATTGTCCAATTCAAAAGTCAAATAGAATTTCATAACGATAATATAGTCAAGATCGTCATGATAAAAGTATCAACAAATATGCAGAATAAAAGATCTTTTGAATCCTTGACATTTTTTCACTCCAAGATGTAATACATTTTCTCTCAAGACTAACAAACATTCAGAATGGTATAATAGTAACATTTTATATCCCTCCAAAGATCTAGTTGAGAAAAAACATCTTTTTATCCCATATTTTCCTTGCAATGCACTTACGTAATATTTTTTTTTACTTTGTATTTCAATAGATAAGTCCAAAGTTTCTATATAAGTGTATTAATTTAACATCAAATTCAAATATTGATTTTAACAATACATTCACAATTACTATATATTTAATCCCCATTTGATTCAGTAAAAAAGTTGATAAAAAATTCAGTCAAATTCAATAATTAATTTTAACAAAACATTTCATGGGATCCACAACTTTTTATCAATTTTTCAACCGTATATTTCATTAACTTTTATAAAAACAAATCTACTAAAAATCAAAATTTTAACAAAATCAAACAAGGACTTATTGTGTAGCAGCTTTATAATTGTTGGCCTCATTTTTTGTTTGGGTGATGCGGACAACAGATACCTGGTCCACTCGTATACACGTAATCGAATTTCAACACATGTGGACGGGATGCTAATCAATAATAACTAGGGTTTGGACATGGGAAAAGCTAAATAATACGAGACAAATTTGTTCGGGCTCTGGCAATGAGTTTTGAAAATGACTATGTAATAATAACCAATCAATAACAACTAGACTAAAGTAAGATAATTTAAGCTCCAACAGACAAGAGTATGAAATCAGCAAGCGGGAGACAAAGGATAACTTTAGGTAGTTAGAGTTGCATTATTTTTCAAATGATACAAGGAGAGGGTATTTATAATGTTACATATGAAATGGTGTCCATTGGATGAAGACACATATGGCTTCATCTCCTTAACTGAAGCATCCAATCCTAGACAATAATTTGAATTCACTAGCCTGCGGCGCATTTAATGTTCCTATAGATAGTAGCCACCCTGAAACCTAATCTGACAAGACCTTAACATTTTACTCATTACAAAGGTCCCATCAATCATTCCAAAAAGATCATACATAAATTCAAGATCTTCACGTATGGGTCGTCACTTGAGCTTCGATTTTAATCACTATCAAGCTTTATCCCTTTGGTAGGAAGACTTCGAGGCTTCATCAATAACATAAGACTGCTTCGGTAATTATGGCTTCGACACTTCAGATTTGTAGACTCCAATAATCCACGTGACTTCATCACAAGGTCCTCAGGGGGTCAGTCACATGGAGCCTATGTGGCGAGGCTTAACAATAATAATTATTAAATAGCTAAATTTTACTTTCAAAAATCCGTAAACTTAATTAAAAACCCCTAAAAATCTTGAAAATTTTCCTAAAACTTATCGGAAATTTTGGGATGTTACAAAAACTGAATGGTCCAAGCATTTTGTGACAAACTTTGAAGTGTTTATATATCAATTGTTGACGCATTAATGTTGTTCATCTCCTGCTCTTTGTATTCTGACAGCCTTTCATAATGGT